GGATATCGCCAGATTCATCTATGAAAATGGAATTCCATTTAATGTTGTTAGGAGTCCGTCATGGATCAATATGTTACGATCTGTTGGAAGCTATGGAAGAGGACTACAACTTCCAAGCATGTATGAGCTGAGAACTTGGATGCTGAATGAGGAGGTTAAGACAACTTCAAAAATGGTGGATGATGTTAAGAAGACTTGGATTGAGATAAGAGTTACAATAATGTCAGATGGTTGGTCAAATATTCATCATAGAAGTATTATTAATTTCTTGGTCAACAATCCATATGGAACAGTTTTTCTCAAATCAGTAGATGCTTCAAGCTTTGTAAATGATGCACAATTATTGTTTGAAATGTTGGATGAAATTATGAAGGAAGTGGGAGATGCCTTAGTAGTACAGATTGTTACTGATAATGTAAGTGCATATAAAGCTGCAGGGAGAATGTTAATGGAGAAGAGGCATCATCTTTACTAGACTCCTTGTGCTGCACATTGTATTGACATGATACTTGAGAGGTTTGGACAATTGCCTCAACATAAATCAGCTATATTGAATGCCAAATTTGTTAGTAAGTTTATATACAATCATTCTTGGGTACTCAGCTTGATGAGAAAATTCACTGACAAAAAAATTATTAGATCTACTTTTACAAGATTTGCTATTGCATATTTAACATTACAGAGATTCAAGGAGTTAATACAATCTTTAGAAGCAATGTTTGCTTCTGAAGAGTAGGATAAAAGTTCATGGGCCAAAAAACAAGAAGGAAAACATGTTAAAAAGATTGTCATGAAAGACGATTCATTTTGACGCAGTACAAATTATGCTTTGAAGACAACATGACCATTAGTAAAGGTGCTTAGAATGATTGATGGTGAGAGGGCCCTGGCTATGGGATTTATTTATGAAGCAAAGAATATGGCTAAGAAGACATTGCAAAAGAATTGGGAGGTCAAGAAAGTGCCTACAAAGAAATATGAGATATTATAGATGAAAAGTGGGATCGACAATTACACCAACACTTACATGCTGTTGCGTACTATTTAACCCCCCCCCCCCAATTTCATTATGATAAGGATTTTCATGCTGACAAAGAGGTGAAAACTGGTTTGTATGCATGTATGGACAGACTCATTTCTGAAGAAGACTACCTCAAAGTGAATAATTAACTTGAGGATTTTCATTTGAAGAAGGGAATGTTTGGATTTAGAGTAGCACAAGCATGCTACAAAACACGATCTCCTGGTATGTTTATAATTTGTGTATTTATAATTTTAATGTTAATATTTATGTTCAAGTATTCTACTTCAACCAATATTCATAAAATTCTATGTTTGTCTTCATGTAGAACGTTGGTGGGCTTAGTTTGGAGATAATGTTCCTGAATTGAAAGCTTTTGTAGTTAAAGTTCTTAGCCTAACGTGTTCGGCTTCTGCATGCGAGTGTAATTAGAGCATTTTCAATCAAATTCATACAAAGAGAAGAAATCAATTGGCGGCAGATTGAATGAACAAACTAGTTTATGTTATGTTTAACAAAAAATTAAAAGATAGACATCTTAAATTGCAGAATCAAGGAAATATTAAGAATGAAATTGACCATTTGTTTGTTGATGAGTTACAATATGATGATGAATGGGTTACTCCTATGAATGTTGATGTTTCTGAAGTTGAAGCAGAAGGAGAAACTCATGTCAATGAAGAAGACAATGAATCAACTACCCAAGTATATAAAAGAAAGAAACAAAGTAAGATTGGAGCTTCAAAAAAATTCAAAGGTATTTTTAAATATATTGAATTATTTTGTATATTACTATTGTTTCATTTTAGAACTAATGAAATATTAACTGATATAGGAGATAAAGGAAAAAATGTTATAGATGAAAAAGAGTTTGAGGATGACTTTGACATTAATTATGAAGATTCTTCTGAAGACAATCAAAGTGATGATGAGCCTGCTTTGGGTCTTGATCCCAAGGGGATGTTTTATTTTTAAGTGAGTTTATTTTAAATCTTGTATTCTAGTAATGTTATCTTGAAACAAATATTCAAATTCATAGTTGACATAATATTTTGTTATTTTTTGTCATTATTTATAATTTTAAATTAATTTATTTTAATCGTTTTGAGGCTTACGCCTCAATCCGCCTCGAGGCTTACGCCTCGCCTTGCTTAAAAAAAAAAACGCCTCGATTTCTGATTTCACCTTTTAAAACCTTGTTATGGACAAGACAACATACTGGTGGCTTCAGTAGAGCAGTAGTTGGAGGACAAAGGCATGATCATTGGGGAGATGAAGGGGCATTTGTTGAGAGCTCAATAAATTTTGAAGATGAAGGAAAATGCTCATAGGAGAGACATTCAGTGTTAGGTGATGGACAAGGTTTACTTGAAGCTTAATCCCTACAAAAATAAAATCTTTGCAAGGAGACAGAATGATTAGTTATCGCCCCGGTATTTTTGTCCATACGAGAAAGTGGAGCGCATCGGGGCCGTGGCATATCACCTACAGATACCGCCATCATCAGCCATCCATCTTGTGTTTCATGTGTCCCAGTTGCGATGGGTGATAGAAGAGCACATTCCATCTTCTTCACTTTTCCCCGACCTTCATGGATAACATGGAGGTGTTATTGGAACCATTGGAGGTCAAATGAGTGTGACAAGGAGTAACAAAAAGTAAGGAAGTGTTGATCAGGTAGAAGGATCTACTGGAGCACGAGGCCATTTGGGAGTCCTTGATTATTTAGCAACAGCTCCTTTCATTCCACCTTGAGAACAATGTGGTACTTTTGGGAGGGAGTATTAATACATCAATAGTCCTTGGGGGGCAGACCAGGGAAGAGTTGGACTGGCCGGGCTAGCAAACCCTGAACCAGGGAGGGACGAACCTGAATAGATTTCGGCTCCTTCTATGGGACACCCAGTAAAACATTAGTTCATTATGTGAGAAAATGAATTAAGGAAGAGATTAATTTGGAAGGATGTCCTAATTGAAATTCAAATTGGAGAAGGAAATATATTAGGAAAGGGGGGCTGATTTATGAGGGAAGTAGGAGAAACTTATTAAAAGCTAAGTTTAGTGTTTGCTTTGTTTTATGCATAATTTGATTGGAGAGTTTCTATAGTTTTCTTTTCGTGAGTACTTCCTAGCGGCGTCTAGGTTGTTTGGGAGAGCCAATCTACCTCTCAAATTTTAGATCACATGTATCTTGCTTTCTTATTGAAGTTATAATAAAAAATCAGCCACCTATATTCATATTTCTACAGTTTTTCCATTGTGTTTGATGGTTTTGTCTTTAAGACGTATCATCTTCATTGAATTTTTATGTTGATTTTGGTCTTGATGATCTTGGTTAATCTAAACTTCTTAAAACTGATTAGAACAGAAGAATCAACTATTCTCCAGGTGATGGTGTTTTTGATAGATCAACTTTCTGTGAGGTTGTCACAACTTAAACTTGGAGCTTGGAGCACTGTGATGAGAACAGATGGTCGGACTTAGTTTAAATGCTATCTATATACATTAAGAACTTTCAAAGTAATTTCTAATAAAACTTTCTAATAGCTCTTCTTCAAATACATCTAATATACTCAATAATTCATAAAATTTTATTAATCTCAAAATTATAATAAGATACGCTAGTATTCTTACAGCATCTGCAAAAAATTTATGTACCTATCACAAGTTGTGGCATGCTTGTTGTAAACAAATTCTCGTCTGTGACTTATTCATCTAGACTCTTTCCTAAAAATATTTATTTACTAGCATGAGTGAGTTATAAAATATAAATTAGTGAGTATATTACAATTCTAAATTATAATAACTTAAATGAATAGAGAAACAACACATACGCCTGTTATGATAAGTGAATCCATATGAAATCATAGAACATGTGCATCTCATTCAGGAGTGGTAATGGAAAAGAAATAATAACTTATATTGGATATTAATAGCATGTGTAAGAAAATGGACATTTCTTATCTTTATCTTATTTTAAATCCAACCGTCACAAGTGTACCATTTAAGATGCTTTAATATTAATTTCATTTTCAAAAACTATACTAACATTGAATTGCAGAAAGACATTTAGCCCTCTACATGTGGGTACAAAATACCCCCAATTAGTACAAGGGGTGAATTTTATCTTTTAACACACATGCAAGTTGTTCTTATATAGTTTTCATTTGTGTTTTCCTCAGATGTCTATTTATAAGAAAACACTGTTTTTAATATAAACTGGTGGAACAAACTATGTGGCATATAACATTTGTTTCAACATGAGCAAACAATTACAATGATAGATCATCATATAGGATTTTGCAATAACAATTAAACGAACATGTATCAATAACATATCATTTGATGCATTTGGTTTAGAAGAAAAAAATCATCACAATAAAATAGAAATATGATCACAATCTCGATTTTTAGGAGCAGCAATTCATCAACTTATCCTGAATCAACTCCTTAATTCAATACCCATAAGTAATGCAGATGATCATATGTAAATCATTTATATTAGTTAACTTGCTTGCATTCATCATTAATCATATATAATATATTTATTTTAACCAACTCCTAATCTCTTATAAATCTTTTCAAATCATTAATTTCCTATATTTTCAATTTCTAATAATTATCTTGAACTTATTTGTTGAATTTCAGATCTTCCTTTAAATCATTTATATAAAATTGAAATTTTAAATTTTCTAATTAATTTTACATATCTTGAATACTTTTATCCCCTTTTTAAATTTTTTCTTATTCTTACATATCTTGAATACAATCTTTTATGGCAAAACCCTAACAAAATTTATTTGGAAATTAAAAACTAACTTCTAGAGTTTCTTGACCTGAAGAAATAAACATCTAGGTTTACTTTTCCTTGAGAGAAAAATGAATGTTGAACTTCCACCTTCTTGAATCTACTCACATTCGTTGCATGTGCTTTCTTGGTCTGTCCCTTTGTGTGATTTAAGCCTCCTTTTGGTGCCAGTAGACTCTAAGAGTGCTCCTCAAGGCATGCCAAGTACCACAAACGTGAAGGCTGACGTTGAAGATTGTATGGATATTGATCACTTAGGTGCTGATCATATGGACAGGAAAGCTGATGTGAAGGCCGATGAAGAGAAGCCGGTACAACCAAACTTGGTTAAGGCATCTGATACAAATAAGCTAACAAAGAAGCGCATCACACCTACAGCCATCAGCTAGGAGTCGTGTTAGTGTCATGCCCATTGGTAATGGATACTCTGCAACTTACAGTAATTTGATGTTTTTAAGCTTCATTGCCGCAATTAAATCTTTATTCTAATGTAGTAGAGTTGACTTCTTGCCAATTAAATGCAATCTTCGTATGATTTTCAATCAGGTAGATGCGCTAAAGTGCTTACAAATGCACCAATAATTATTGAAGAAGAAAAATCCTTGCTTTTGCATTTGAAAGCTGGTTTTTGGGAATGTTATGCAGTGGCAGTCCAGATTTATATGCTGAAGACTGGGGGAAACCAAGTGCTGATGGAGAGGTTTTTATTCGCATCCTAATATTAAAACCAAACCTTCCTTGTCTTTGTTAAGATACCTTTATTGAGATTGAGTGATCTTCTTACTATGGGTGGTGTGCTTCTTGCTTAGTCCCATAAAGATAATGATAGTATTCCTTGTTGTAACGAAGATCCAAACTTTGTGCATTCTCATGCATGTTTGATAGCTGCAAGCTGCTGTCCTGCAATGAAGTCTAATAATATTATCAATATCTGTCATTCCAAACTTACCATTTGCAGTTGTTTTACCTGCTCCACCGACTATCATGCGCTTTATGTTACTTTATTTATTTATTTTTTTGGGGAAAATTTAGGGCAAAGCCCCTATATTAATCAAAAGAGAAATACAGGTAAAACAAAACTCAGCTTAAAAAAAAGGACAAAATACAATTGAAGAAGAGCTGAAAACAAAAAAAAGAGAACAAAAAAGAAACCAAAATTGTCTCATATAGGGCTCAGGATCAACTCAAACTGGCAAGGCAATCATAGATTTGGAGGGTCAGCAGCTCATTGCCTGAAACAGACAAATATAAAACCCCGGTTGCCATTCAAAGGACCACACGAACAATCCAGGTGGGTGCAGACTGCTAGGCCAAAACCTGGAGCAAGGGCCGGTGGAGAGACGAAGGCCATCCAGGGGATGGGAAACAGATAGCCAGTTGACAACATTGCCCAGAGACAGCAGAAATCCCAGCTCGTTAGAAATATTGACGAGAGAAGCAGACCGGGAAAGCAGTAGTAATGTAATCAAAATGTTTCCGCTTAGAAGCCTTAGCAGAGATAGCCTTTGAGACTTTGTGAGAGATATCAAAAGGGGAACAATATTTGTTAGCAAATCTTTTATCATTCCTCTCTCGCTAGATAAAATAGACTAAGCAGCAAGTAATAAAAAAACATAATTCCTTATCTTTGGAAGTAAAACGCTGCATCTCATTAAAAAATTCAAACAACTGCAACAAAGTAGGCCTTAGTAAAAGCATATGCACCTCTGGCATTAACAGTTGGAGTATTTGAAACGAAAAATGGCATTGGAAGAAAAGATGGCATTTGCTTTCTTCTTCCATATCACAAAGAGGACAAAAGGGTTGAATAAAAATATTTCTTTTGGCAAGAACATCATCAGATTTTAGCCCATTCCGAATAGCTAACCAGGCAAAAGAAGAATATCTAAGAGCTAATCAATTGTGCCAAATAAATATGTACCAGAAGACTTTAGCAATATCAGCAAAAAACATCTTCCTGAAAGTCTTAAATTTGGGAGAACCATTTCCAGTCCAGGACACCAAAAGCTGGGACTCCACAATAGGAATATTAGAAATCAGCTGGGATAAGAGAGGGGAGTTGATCTTGTTTAAATTCCAGTAGCCATCAGAAATGTAATCTTTAACTACAGTAAAACCGGAAAGGGAGTAGTGGGAAAGGTCAGCCAAAGAAGAACCATTAACCCAAGGATCCCAAGCCTTGGAGAGGTTACAATTTGATTTGTCCACATGAAAATTAAGGAACTGCTTAACACGAAGAGCAGTACTGTTGACTAGTTTCCAAAATTTTGAAGCTCTAGCAGTAGGAGGTTTGAATGAGGATTCAAATTTAGATTTAAACCAAGTATTAATGAGGGAGTTGGAAGAATAGAATCTCCACAGAAAGGTGGAGGTATAGACAAAATACATAGAGTTAAAATTTGGAATACTAAGTCCTCCAAAGCAAGTAGGAAAACAAGTGTTATCCCAATCAATAAGATGTAATTTCCTCTCAGTAGTAGTGCCATGATAAAGGAATCTGGTACAAAGTCCGTCAGTGAGCTTGCAACAACCTTAGGTATGATCGCTCCCCGAATCCAATAAGCAATCATATTAGCAATAGTGAATTTCAAGTATTGAATTCTATCTGCAAAAGACAAAAACTAGACTTTCCAACCAACAAGCAGAGTAGAAACTTTACTCAGTAGTGGTTGGAAGTTAGAAAAAGAAAGTCTTTTGTGGGAGAGATAGGCAAACCAAGGTATTTTAAGGTGTACTCAATTGGGGTATAACCAAGAAGATTAATAATATCATGAGCAGCTTGAGAGTTTTGAGAAAAAAGAATAGAGCACTTGGTTCTATTAATATGAAACCCAGTGGCCTTACCAAAATTGTCCAATGTAGAATTCAGGGCATGAACATTAACAAGAGTTTTCAGGCCAAAGTCTAGCACGTCGTCAGCATACAACAAGTGACTATAGATGTGCTCCCCGTAAGGGAAACCCATGAAACTTCTCGCATCCAAACCATAGGAGAAGGCATCCATATCGATAGCAAATCGTAAGGGGGATAGGGGGCAGCCCTGCCTTAGCCCCAAAGACGATTTAAAGAAACCTTCCAGCATACCATTGATGCAAAAAGAAAAGGGCACGTCATAGATGCAACCCTTGATCCAAGAGAGGAATTTGGGTGGGAAACCTTTCTCATGCATCCTAAATAATAAAAAGTCCCTAGAGACAGAGTCGAAAGCCTTTTTAATATCCAATTTAGCACAAAAAATTTTTTTATCAGAGCACAGCTTGAAATCTCTCAAAATTTCTGAAGTCAAGATACTATTATCAGAAAGTCTTTGTTGAATGAAACCAGCCTGACTATTGTGAATTATAAGGGGCATAATGCTTTTCATGCAATTAGCTAAAACTTTGGCTATGATTTTGTAGAAAGTATTACAAAGGGAGATCGGCTGGTAATCAGAAATGTTAGTATCATGGGAATGTTTGGGGATTAGGACAATGGCCATGGTTTTAACACAATTGCGAAGAATGCCAGTGCTGAAAATGTTTTTAGCCGCTTGACAGACATAGTAACCCATAACCCCCCAAGTAGATTTATAAAAATCATAAGTGAAACCATCCGGGCCTGGGGAGGTAGAAGAGGAACCGACAAACACCACATCTTTAATCTCTTGATCAGTAACCGAACTAATAAGGCCTTCGGTAAGGGACGAAGGGATGGTGGATCCACAAGGAATGGAAAATGACTCAGGTCGATGGGGGTGGGGGGGTTAGAAGTATTATACAGCTCTTGGAAGTAAGTAACTGTGGCATTAGCAATATCTTTGGGGTTAATAAAATGACCAGCTGGTGTAGAGATATCTTTGATACGATTGAAGTTACCTTTGGATTTAACCCTCGCATACAGAAAATCAAGATCATCTTCCTTATCAGAAAGCCATTTGGCTTTGCCCCTTTGAACTATCCAAGAATTCCAAGCATTATGATAGAAAGAAAGTGAGGTATTGATATGTTTGAGATTAACATTCAGGTCTGAGTTGACAGGATTCGATTGAATCAGCTCAAGTTAATGTTTTTGGCTATATTCAAGAAAATCAAAAATTTCCTTCAAAAAATTAGAGTTAGCCCAATGTTTTCGCTTCAAGAAGGTTTTAAGACAATTGAATTTGAAGTACAAGTTAGCAATAGGGCTAGCAGCCGAGTGTTTGGCAAAAGCAGCAATAACACCTTCCCAAAAACCATCCATATTAATCCATAAATTCTTGAATAAAAACCTGCCACCAGTAGGAGTCGGGTTGCCTGGCAAAGAATCAGAGGTGAATGATCAGAGCAACCAGAGGATTCCACTTTGTAGAAAAGAGGAGTATTTTTCAAGCCAAGCATAGTTAACCAACATCTTATCCAATTTAGTATGAATTGGATCATCCACCCTTTGGTTAAACCACATATATTTCAATCCAGTAGAAGCAAGATCAAAAGTGCCAGTATTAAACATCCTGGTATTCAACTCATTGAGCTGACTATGGTGGGTAACATAGACACCTAATTTATCCTTCGCATCCTTAAAATAGTTAAAATCCCCCATAATGATCCAAGGGGAAGTAATACTATCAGCCAGAATAGATAACTGATCCCATAGATCAGTTCTTTCAGCCAAGGAGTTGGAAGCATAAACCATAGATAAAGCAAAATAATTGGATGAGGAAGAGGTGAGTATGCCGTGAATGAGTTGAGAAGAGGTGTGAGAGGGTTCTAAATTGATTGCATTTGAGTTCCATTTGACCCAAATTCTCCCAGGGGAAGAAGAGCAAAAATTGTTACAGCTTGATTCCCGCTGAAAAACTTGATGAGAGTTGCAAAACCAAGGGTCAACAAAAGCTTGGGGTTGAATTTTGGCTTCAAGAATACAAATTAATTCAAGAAGATGAGAAGAGACAAGATTTTTACAAGAAAACACTTTGTCGGATCCATTGAAACCTCAGATGTTCCAACAGGTAAGGGGGGAAGGTTCATTTAGACTTGGAAGAGGGTTGCGCTTTTTTGGAACTGGGTGGCTTGGTATGTTAATTTTTTTGGTTTAGAACTCAAGTCAGGAGGTTCTTCAGGGTTGGGGTGCATATTACTGGAAGATTGTACGGAGTCCTCCCTAGAATCGAGAGGTTCATCCTGCAGGAGAATAATAAATTTATTCAGAGATGTAGAGAGGTTATTATTTGGTCGTATCCAGGGGGATGAAGAAGGGGGATTTTTTGAATCGTTAGTGGGGGAAATATGAACATTTCCATTGGGTTCATGAGGCTCAGAAACTGGAAGAGGGTCAACGGAGAGGGTGGCGACCTCTTAAGTAGGGGAATTTAAGTTAGGAATGGGGTCAGGTTGGTGGGGTTTCTCTCGGGAAATAGGAGAAGGGCTAGCTTTCGAGGGAGGGTAGGAAGGGGGAGGGCTGTGATTCTGAGGTTCCACCGAGGGGGGACAGGGTAGAGCTGCATTGTTAGACGACCGAGCAGAGATGGGTTAGAGGTTAGAGGGTGAAAGGGTAGGTAGGAAGGCAGGGTTTATTGGTGGGGGAAGAGGAGGTCTGGAATGGGGATGACTTTTGCTTCTACCACAAGTATGGGAAGGAAATTGGGCTTTATGTTGAGGATTTTTTGGGCAAAGGTTAGGGGCGTGAACCAGGGAATCACAGCCTGAACAGGGAGTCGACTTCCAGTCGTATATGACCTTGAGGTTAACATCATCCCCGTCTAAAGACACAGGAATTTCATTGGGAAAAGAAGACTTACTGGTTACCAAAATGCAAACCCTGGCAAAGATGAGACGTGTTTTACGAGCAGTGAGAGCATCCACCGCTAACGGTTGCCCAACGAAACTAGCGATTTTGGAGATGCCCAAAGGGTTCCACACTGCGAGCTGTAAGTCTACAATTTTGATCCAGATGGGAATGGAAGTAAATTCATCCCGTTTAGGGATGAATTTAGGATTCTATTTTTGTAAAATGAAAGG